AAATTTCTCAAACGTTTTTAATGATCCTCAAAGACATTATTGGTAAAAGGAGCAACAGTTATACATTTTATACTTGACGTGATAAATGAAACTTTATAGATATCAGTACCAAGGTAAGAGTTGATAGTTTCAAATAGGATTGAGCATTAGGTGGAAAATTAATCACAATACAATAATAATGATTTTGGTGATATCCTAATAAGTAGAATTTTGTATTCCTGACGTTTCATGACTAAATCCAAGTCACTTGTTCGGTGTAAATAAATAAATAATATAAGTTTAAGTGGCTAAAATGGAAACAAAGTAGAATATTTTTATTACAATCAAACTAAAAATATTCGGTTGAAGAAGTGACTTTCGACAAGTCATGAAATGTCAGAAATACAAATATCTGCTCATCAGGAAGGATATCAAAAACCATAATTATTTTATTATTGTAGGAAACTAATAAAAATAACGTTAATACTATCAGACAATTAGGTGCATGCAGTCAGTTGAAGTATGATAGTTTTGGTATAAAACAATAAAACGTACTGTAAGACCACGGTGAACTTTATCTGCGTAACATATGAAACACACATAAATTTGTCAATAAATCATCACCAAGTTCATATGAAGCGAATAATTTGTAGATAGATTTCCTGAAGTAGTAATGCAATTGACTAAACCAAGAGTTAAGAAGTAAATAACTCATCAATAACTTTAAATAAGGAACATACCATTTAAAGAATGCGAGCCAGTACAAGACATGAAGATGCTTGTTGTAATTTTGTATGTGTGCAGTGTTAGAGAATACCAAATAGGATTAAATAGATTTTTATTGCTTCTTTGCTTACAATGGTTTTCTAGTCGACATCAAATAATCATGACAATTATACCGAAATTATAAGATATCTGTTCAGCTGATATTGCATTTCATTATTATACGAATTCCAAGGTTTCTGTCGATCAACTCACCAAAATTAATAAGGATTATATTTGTATTAAAAACACAAACTTCAGCAAAAAAATTTCTTTTTCAGCGACTTTATTATCAAACTGCACAACTGTATACAGATATGAAATTTTAAGTATTTATTTCTTGAGGACATATGAACAAGGAATAAACATAATGACACTATAGAAAGATTATAATACTTGATTATATGGTGTAAATAATAATCATAAAATGTTGTTTTTATACGAATTTAAATCATTGCAAAATCGATAAGTTATCAGTGGATCGTAGTGTGAATGAGTTAAGATCATCCAGGAATCTTGAAATCTCGTTTCAAAAAATATCCTTATATGAATCTGGAATTTAAAACTAACCAAACTTCTAGTGTATTTGAAAATTGGCTTTCAATATCTGCACAAAGAGCGTTCTATCTCTCAAAGCTGGGACTAACGTTAACCAGCAAAAACCAGTTTTCTGCATCCCTACGAGATAAGCTCCCTGGTTTGGTTGCCTCTACCAGATCATTTGCTCTCGTTGAGTATGGCACTGTAGTGTGCACTAATGTGTCGAGTCCACATGGCTTGTCCTAGTTTTTGGATAAACCTTTTAACCTTTTCTCACCGGGTTGTCAATTTTTCGCTTAAAATCTTGGTAGTTTGCTTGCTTCGCTTATCAAATGTCTTGCTTATTCTTGTCTGACCATCAATACTTAATTTTGCTTCGTCACACTGAGTTAACGCACCTAGATCTTCCGCTTCATTTCCCTTCTCTTTAACAGTGCTCTTTAATGTGCCTTCTTACGCGAATGTATGGAATAAATTCATCCACAATAAACCGTATCGGCCTTCAACTACCGCTGTCGCAAAAACGAGGTTCACCTAAGAATACTATGCGGAATTCAAAGGGGAGATTTATTTCATAGCATATTCAATTGTTCGTCAAAACTGAAGTCACTAAAGTTCATGGGTTGTATCCAGTGCTTGCTTGCAACTAGAATACCACTATATGTTCCGTGTGATTAGACAAATGTTACAAGAAAACGGTTACGAGTACTATCCTTGACCATTTAATTCATTCTAGTCACTCCATTTATCCATAGGCTGATTTGAAAGTTTTTTATAGGATTCGTCAAAATCTACCAAAATCTCTTTGTATTCAACTCTTTTAAACAGTAGATGCTCTTTCCATCCACAGAATGAAGCTAGAAATGTGATCATATCATTGTCCTTACCATAGCCTCAAACTGTTATTACTATTATTATTTCACATTTGAAAATATCCTTGTGTTTAATTATTTCTCACATCCCTAAGATTTTCCTTGTAATTGTTTCTGACATCACCTCATTTCATTTAACCCTTCCGATAGCTTTATTCATTGTGACAAAAAACAATTTAGTAGTCGTACCTCTTTAATACAATTAATTTCAAACATATATATGTGTTTAGAGTGTTATTAGAATTGACGTTAATAACTAGTAAGTTTAAAATTTTTACTATACTACTGTTAAAATATTGGATCCTTGTTATTAGGTTACGATCATTACTATGAGACGAAATGCACTCAACGTAAGTTGATAAACTCATAATCCATTAAGTATTTTTTTTCTCTAATGAAAATGACGCAAATCGACCACTATATTCCAAATGGCTTAAATACTAACAGCGGATTTTAAATTGTAAATTAAACTATTTGGCTAAATACTTAAATCTCTCTGCCTTCAAACAAACAACTACTTACTCCAACACTTAGATATATTTCGATATTTTTCAAATTGCTATTTACTGTCTCCATCTGTCGAAATTCTCATTTAAGTATACAAATGCTTTTTTGTATGTAGTCGTTGCAGTACTATTGATGTCACTGGCGAAATCTATGAAAAGGTATGAGATATATGTCAATCGGATTCTCTTCTAAAATTAAGCCTGTTCCTATTCATTTGAATACACCATGTTTATACTTATGTTTTCTCATCAAAATAAGTCCAATTGTTTGGTCCTAATTACCTATACATGTAAAACTAGCTTGTAATCTAAGTAGGAATGCCATTAATGTGTAACCGACTGCAGATTTTTCTGTAAAATTTGGACAAAACTCTTGTTATCTACCATTGGTGTTATTGAATTCATACAAATATGGCTAACCGATTAACAGAAGCAACCAGTGACTTACTCAAAATAATCCATTTTTCCAACTGTGTTAATTAAAACGTGTCAGAAATATATCCGATAATCCAGAACATAATTTAAGAATCTGGATAAAATTCTATGTTGCCTGTGGTATGCTTAATACTTACTATTAGACTGTCTGAAAACAATGATCAATGAGAACTTTTAAACCGAAAAGTAGTGATATCTCAAAAATCAATTTAATCACCCTTCGTTATTGCTTATGCAACAGATACGATATTTTATTTCCGTGTTATACAATCGATTTCACACGATAATTCGTTATTTCTACTGTGTTCAAAATTAGTCATGCCCGCTTCATTATTGTTTTATCCACCTAATATATGACTATGTTACTTGTATTATTCACTTAATAGGTACACCTACGAATATCAAACTTGTAATTTAATTTTTGACTTGTTCTGAATTCAAGAACTATACAAACACTCCTAGTTTATTGATCTATATTGTTTATTACCAGATTTCGGGAACTGTAATATATAGAATAAAGTGAAAGTACTTCTACTGCTAAATACGAATTAGATCTGTATTATTAGTTGCTGTCTATTAGATATACAACTACGTATTAATCTGTATACTTCTTCTCGATAGAGATTACTTTGCTTATACTAGAAGTTGTTGAAAAAGTTCCAATACTTGGAACTAATTAGGTTGGAAAAACGATAAGAAATAATTAGTAAAATATATAATTATGATATAGCGAGCAATAAGAACTAAGTCTGATAACGAGGCCTTCTTAAACGACTGATGAATTATCAATAAAACTCACACCTCACAATCCAGTCGTATTAATTTTGTGGCTATTATTTTGTATGTGTGTAGATTTGCATATTTGAATGATACATTTTTGCTGATGAGTTATCACTTTTTGTCATCCACTTATTGTGAATTTTATGTGAATAATTCGAATTTGTGAGTAACTGTTACTGGGTCACACTAGTCATATTAAGTCGAGGAAGTGATTGCACGATCTGTATTATTTTGCTACACCAAATTTTCGCTTTAGTACTTCTTCAAATAGGAATTTAAAGGTAGTATAAGGACAGAACAAGCAGCAAACCAATTGTGGAGGAATTCTAATAACACTTATCCAAGTACGTGCTGATGATGCTGTCCAGAAAGATAATGCGAGTTTCATGAATGAGCTAAACAGCATAGAGAACTCTGAAAACTCTCACCCTGAACTACGAGCATTTTCAAATCGCTAAATTGTTTACGCTGAAAATAGCACAACTTGAAGTACATAAATGTAAACAAAAGAACACTGATTCACATTCCGATTATCGTATGAAAGTAGTCTATTCATCAACACTGTCCCTCATTAGCCATCTTACCAAAGTGACAGGAAATTTTTTTTGGTTTCACTGAAGTATCTTGCCCCCTAATCTTTTCAGCATAAAATCAACTATGTAATTACGTATTCAGAAGACAAATAAATGACTATATGGAGGAAAATGGACTAATGGGACCAACTACAGATGGTCTACTTTATTTTTATGATTTTAAAGTCATCTATCACAAATCGGTAAATAAATTGTGTCAGTTTGTATGGTTAGTCAATAGGGTCGCAATATGCAACGTAAAAGTCAAACTTGAAGCACAAAACGCTTTTATTTTCAATTTACAAGGAGTTGGAAGTAAGGAAAATATAAATAATAATGCAAAACAAATTTTTCAGTTAGTCAAATATTTGGAAAAAAGTAGAGAGAAATCGTAGTTTTAATGTTTTTAAAAAAAAATTAATCAGCTGAAATTTGTAACTGATGTTTACACAAAAGCATCAACTAATTTTTCAACTGTTCATCAATCACATTCATATGGAACTATAATCCAAAGTACAGAATATTAACATAGGTTGCAGTTTTTTCACTTTTCTTCAATCTACATCACGAACAACGAATAGAATGAGGTTAGTTTGGCTAACTAGTAGGTTTGCACTGCTGAAAACCACAGTTTGACTAAAAAGAAGAAAGGTCAAACATTCAGAAATCAATTCATTTTCAATAACACGAGAAGAATGCATGATTTTGGGCATTAGAAATTAAACTTTAATATTTATTAAGCAAACTTCATATAATAAGTGTAATGGTGTCACTATCTTAAAGCATTGACGTCAGTAGCTTGAGCGTGTGTTACTAATGTTATCATAGAGACTGCTACTCCGTGTATTACTCGTTAATTACTAATCCGATCTATTTCTAAACACATATATCATAAACGATATATTTTTAACACAACTTGATGCTATATACGTCCAGTTTTATGATGATTTATTATCCTATATGGAGCTGAAAACCATAGAATTTAGAAAACTGTATATCCATCTCATCCAAGTAAGTAGAGTGAATCTAGTGAATAAGTATATTTAATAGGTTTTTAAATTACACTGTAAGACCTGCTTTAATTCCTGAACGATATATGCAACGACTTATCTAACAGATGTACAGTAGATTTTAGATACACGGAGCATAGATTAATACCATTATATATGGATTGTATGCAGCTGATGATGAACTACGAAACAAAATGAATTCATATTATTTGCGATTCACTCATTTATCCTGTAGTCAATCCATTGTTGTTGTTATTATTACATAACTTTGAATATCAATCCTCTCATCCAGGATCTTCATATTATTTATTATTATTATTTACCTTTTAAACACCTTTTATGATTCTTTTATACTTATTACCGTTGTGATAAACTTTATTGAAAAGAAAATTTCGGACATTATAATATAAAGTTGAGTTATTGACTTAGAATATGCCGATGACATTGTCCTAATTGGTGAAGATGCTGACAAAATGCATAGTCTTCTGACCACCCTAAGCAACAATGCAAGCATGTTCGGGATGCGGTTTTCCCCCTCGAAATGCAAAATGTTGCTTCAAGATTGGGTTTCATTGGTACCTGAACTAGTGATAGGGAGTGAAGTGGTCGAACGTGTAGACCGCTTCACTTATCTTGGGAGTTTCATCAGTCCCGATGGCCTGGTTGGTGACGAAATTTCAACAAGGATACAGAAAGCTCGATAGGATTTTGCCAATTTACGTTATTTGTGGAGTAGGCGAGATATCCGTTTGCTGACTAAAGGACAAGTGTACTTCACAGTAGTTCGCTCCCTTCTCCTATATAGGTCTGAAACATGGCCAGTGAGAGTAGGAGATATTCGTAGGTTACTGGTTTTCGATCATAGGTGTCTTCGAAGCACTGCTCGTATACCGTGGGACAACCGAATGAGCAACGCTGTTATTAGGAATCGGGTGCTAGGCAAGAATGGCAGATCAATAGATGAAGTGGTGAAACTTCACCAGTTGAGGTGGTTGGAACATGTGTTGCGTATGCCCAACCACCGACTGCCTCGAAGAGCTTTGTTTTGTAGTGTAGGAGTAGGTTGGAAGAAAGCTAGGGGCGGCCAGACCAAAACATGGCAGAAATCCATGAAGTCACTGACTAGTGGACTGAGCCATGTCGGTAATTGTCGACTACCTGGTTGGGGTCCGCGAGATGATAATAATCGATGGTTAGAGACCTTGAACGACATGGCTCAAAATCGTTCGCAATGGCGCCGGTGCATTTATTCTCTGTGTTCTCTCAAATCCTAATCTTCTGGATTCTTCAACCCCTCTAGTTTTGAGTTTCTAAACTTTTCTCATTTAATCATACTTCTTGAATAATATCTTCTCATCCTAACCTTTCCGATTACTTCTAATACCCGTACTAACTGTTCTACTATTGGATTTGAATTGACGATTTACTTCTCTGTGCTGATGTGGTATGGCAACATGAACTGATGTACTTATGTACAAAGTTCTACGTTGCATCTGACTGACTGACTGAATATAAAGTTGAGTGTTTAACATTAGTTACAGCACCAACGGTTTCAGTTACTAGTTAAACAAAGTCAATACATTACATTTAAAACAATATGTAGGTGACAAAAATAAGAGAACACAATAAACACTGCCATGTAACTAAAGAAACTCGAATAACTGAGAACAACGAACTGAAACAAGAAGGAACTTGAACTTTCCAGTAAACTACTTTAAATTCAAGATAAGTGGAATGTCTTGTCGGAAATTGAAATAACAAACATCTCAAGATGAGGATATTACACCTAAGGCAACGTTACCAAAAATTTGTGTGAGAAGCAATTTTTCATACTTATTCGGTTAACCTTGAATGGCTAACGAATGATATGAAACAGCAAGAAATAGTCTGTAGTTAAACAATTCCATACTAACTCGTTATTCCTGAAGTACTGCTTCAAAGTATCACTGAATTTGCGACAGTAAGTAATGAATTTTCCTTTTTGATCTTCAAGGCATTTCTTTTGTGTTCCTGGTGGTAACGCATCGTAAAAGGCTCCGACAGCAGCTAACAACATTTTTATTGCTTCTGCTATATCTCTGAGTAAAGAAATTTTATTGAATGATTGAATAATTAAATTACTTGATGACTTCTATAAATGCCCTACGATCTGTAATTTCAATGGGTATGCGACTAAGAATGGTTTTTAGTTTCTTAGCCGTACGTTCCAACTCCAAAACTCTGGGATTTAATGATGTTCTCGGTTTATCTGAAATTATACAAAATTTAAACATCAAGGATAATACCACACTCCTGAAGAGCAGCGATTCGTAAACATGTTTCAGTCACATCGATTTCACTATCAACCCCCATCCGTTGAAGCAAGCCAATCATGAAATCTTTACTAAAACCAGGATACCGCATCTCAACCTAACATAGCCAAGAATATATATTAAAATTACAACCTACCTCAGAGAAAGATTCCTTTAGTCGTTGAGTTAGTCCATAATTCTCTTTTTCCATCTTAATAGAATCTACATGAGACATGATAAAGACATACTTTCGCAAATGTAGGTTCGAAAATAGATTGTTTTGCTCGAGAAGCATTCTCAACTCTGATAGCGGGAGCTGCTGCAGCCGGCCACCTACTTCCAGCCATATTCCTGTAAGCAAGTATACAAACGTAATACTAAGTGCTGAATAAAAAAGAAATCTTTCTAGAAACTGTCAAATTCTTCAGTCAGTCAGCTACAACATAGAACATGGTATGTACATTACCTCGAGTTGCCATACCACATTTGCACAGACAGATTGAACTATCAGTTCAAATACCATAGTAGTTGGGGTAGTAGCAGTATTAGCGGTAATCGAAAATATTAGTGGTCGAAAATTTGATTCGATTTGATCCTCCACGTTCTGATAATCAGGCCTTGATACGGTCTTTTCTGTGTTACCGTATGGTTCTGACGTTGTATCCGACACCTCGCACTTTATATGTTCATCATATTTCGTCTTTTCGTCTTCGAACGCTTGACATTTCTCCTTGAAGCTTTCAGTGAATCAGTGTGCTCATCATACATGTTTTAGGGGTCTACCGAATGGCTTTGTTGATGGTGATGTCCAATACGTCTTCGAGACACGTCAGTTGCTCTGTTTTACTTATAGCTTGCCGTTTATTTGTGGTAAGTTTTCTGTGTTCAGAAGCTTTACTGCATCAAGTGTCAAGAGGGATATTGTGGAGTACATATTTGGAACAGCCATTATGATTTTCGCATACGACAGCGTGCAGATGAAGTGAGTCCAGTGCATCAATAACTACATCAAATCCTGCAACAATTACATTGCACCTCATCCTTGACCGGGAATAAACTTGACGATCTGAAGCAACTATGCCAGTTATCAAACGGACAGAAGTGAATTGCAAAAACAGAAAAGATTATAAAATTCCAACACCAAGACCTATTTTCAGATGCAATAAACAAACAGATATTTAACACCAAAAAAGTAATAGTCATATAGGAAGTATGATAAAGCCTCCCTTCCATGGTGTGGGCAGCCGGGAAGTAACATCCGCCCTTATACCCGTAACAGCACATGAGACCGAATTGGTCACTCTTCCTAAACTCCCTACAATCTCTCTAATCTCCACGACTCACCCTTCTTGCATTCATTTATTACGCCACACCGTTTATGCAAACGATTCAAGTTCACGAAACGTTATTACTGGTTTCCTGAAAATTCGTTCTAAAAGTTAGGCAACGATGTAAGTGATTCCAATCCGGAGGCAGCTTGGAATGATATTCAAAAGGCTGTGGAAACAGCAGTGATATCTTCCAGTAGGGTGAATCATAAGGTTAAGAAGCCGTGGATCTCAGTAGCATCCACCAAACTGATGGATGCTTGAAAGCTCATCCCACCTGGCTCTAAGTACGATGAGGAGTGGAGTCAGCTTAGGCGTAGGCTGATAAAAAGCCTTCGCAAGCATCGAGAACAGTGGTGGGTAGCGAATGCCAGATGAAAAACGCAAAGGCGATAGATAACAGTAGGAAACTTTTCAGACTCATCAAGGAAACTGGTATTAGTAACCCAAATGTGAGTGAAACTATTCGGGAAAAGGACGGCTTTAATATTCATTCTCAATCCAGGAGATTGGATCGATGAGCAGAACACTTCAGGGATCAGTTCAACTGGCCTTCAGCCACACGACCTCCAGTCATCCTGAATTGCAAATCGAAGTAAGTCCTCCTGCTCTTTATGAAGTTGTAAGAGCTATTCCAAATCTAAAGCTGGGAAGAGCTGCGACTCCTGATAGATTGACCCCTGAGATATTTAAGGATGGTGGTCCCGATTTAGCAGCTAGATTGACTGAGATCTTAGGTAGAATCTGGGAACTGGACGTAATCCCATCCGACTGGTCTCAATCAATGATTGTCTCAATTTATAAGAAAGGACAAAAGTCTTCTTGTGAAAATCACAGGGCAATCAGTCTAACTAATGTAGTATCTAAATTGTCAGCGTCGATTGCACTTAGATGCCTAACTAGAGCTCGTAAAGAGCAGACTAGAGAAAACCAGTCTGGTTTTCAACCTGGACGTGGTTGTATAGACCACATCTTCACACTACGACAGGTCCTGGAACACAGATACACATTTAGGCGTCCGACAGTAGTTGTTTTCCTGGACCTAAAAGCGGCATTTGACTCAGTGGATCGTGAGGTTCTGTGGCGGTGTCTGTCATTGAAAGGTGTACCAAAGAAGTAAATTAACCTCATAAAAGCTCTGTACTCGAACACTACAGGTCGAATCAGAGCTTATAGCGAACTGTCATCGGAATTCTTCGATTCAAGTTGTGTCCGTCAGCGATGTCCACTTTACCCATTCTTGTTTAACTTTGTCGTAGACATACTTTAAGAGTTAACATTATCCTTGTCAGATTGTTTAGGGGTAGAGCTTCTACCAGGAGGATCGCCTACTGACCTAGAATATGCCGATGACATAGTTCTGTTCGGTGAAGACGCTGACAAAATGCAGTCTTCTGACCACCCTAAGCAACAATGCAAACATATTCGGGATGCGACTCTACCCCTCGAAATGCAAAATGTTGCTTCAAGATTGGGTTGCATCGGTACCTGAACTAGTGATAGGGAGTGAAGTAGTTGAGCATCTCGACCGCTTCACTTATCTGGGGAGTCTCATCAGTCCCGATGGCCTGGTTGGTGACGAAATTTCAACAAGGATACAGAAAGCTCGATCGGATTTTGCCAATTTACGTTATTTGTGGAGTAGGCGAGATATCCGTTTGCTGACTAAAGGACGAGTGTACTTCACAGTAGTTCGCTCCCTTCTCCTATATGGGTCTGAAACATGGCCGGTAAGAGTAGATATTCGTAGGTTACTAGTATTCGATCATAGATGTCTTAGGAGCATCGCTCGTGTATCGTGGGACACCCGAGTAAGCAATGATGCCATTAGGAAGCGAGTACTAGGCAAGGATGGCAGACCAATCGATAAAGTATTGAAACTTCATCAGTTGAGGTGGTTGGGACATGTGTTAGGAATGCCCAACCACCGACTGCCTCGAAGAGCTTTGTTTTGTAGTGTAGGAGTAGGTTGGAAGAAAGCTAGGGGCGGCCAGACCAAAATATGGCAGAAATCCATGAAGTCACTGACAAATGAACTGAGTCATGTCGGTAATTGTCGACTACCCGGTTGGCGTCCGCGAGAATAAATCTAGGAAGTGTAACGCACTCTAGTCAGTCGCAATCAAGTCTTCGTCATATGACTCTAAGCAACATGTCCTAACAGCTTATTGTAGGCAAAAGTGATGAAGAATTGAACCCAATACCCATACAGATACCAGATGTTTTATTTGACTGAACGAGAAAACCTGAGTATTATGAAACCTGGCAACTACACAGACACAGCAAAATCCCAAGAAACACCCAACTAACAAAGCAGTGCTTCAAGTGATATTTTAGCATCACTTTTGGTGGCATTCTCCCAAAACCCGGAAATACAATATCAGGGTTTGTGTAAATAACCCAATCTCAGAGTGACGTGAATTTTTTATTGAATCGGTCTTCTTAGGTAAAGTAAACATCTTCAGAACTCTATCATAATAAACAATGAGAACTACCTCCGATATACCGATGCAAGAAATCCTTTAGTAAAGCCGGTTTAAAAACATAGTACAACGCATTAAACTGCTACATTTTTTTCCCATACAAGTAAACCTCTTGAAATCATTACTTTAACTTATCCCTGATTATCTACTTTTCTACAAAATCCACACCATATTATAAATAATTATGGCCGGAGAATTAGCGCATTTCCTGCTAAATAACTCGGATCATCGACTTCTTATTAAACTAAGTGAATTCAAAAAATATCTGGGATCAGCTTTTAGTATACATGAGCTGTTCGTAATGTTCAAAATGAACAACCAACCCAAGACTCACTAACTCTGTATCGCAGTAGTCCGTAAAGCCCGCTAATCTGAAGTCCTAATCTCTGCAAGCAAAAGGAGCTAGCAGAAGTATTTTCCAAATAAAATCCAGAATAATGATATTATTTGTTATAGAAGAAGAGTTGAGAGCTAGTCTCCTAACCTAAGGACAACAAAGGTAACAGAACAGGTTAGAGTTTGTCAGTTAAACATGAAATAGCCAACATCTTTTTCAGGAGCTAGTATAAACCAACTGATTCCTTCGCGTTCAATTCTTATTCCTCCGGTACTCTCCCGGGTATTTTTTAATGAGACGAAGAGTTTAGAAGTAAAGAAATAGCTTAATTAATTGGTAGTGAAGATCGTGTAGTGCAACGCAACTACGGAGAAAATATGATTTGTGAAAAATAAACATTATTGTACTCGTTTTATTTAACTGTACCAAAAACACTTATTCCACTTCTTGTGCGCAACGTTCTCTTCGCGTTGCTTCCATTTTTCTTTATTTGCTGTTCCCGATGTAATATCTAATTTCTCCCTCAATAAAACCTTGGAACATGGATTTATTTCGATTTTAATGACGGGACCGTATGGAACATTTAGTGGTGATCATAGTCAATCTGGTGTCTTGAATCGCTCACTACAATTGGTGAGCCAACGTTTCTTCAAATGAAGTCAATTACGGTGAGTCTATTATTCATCTATCACCACTTTTATAATGTTGCAATACTACTAATAATGACTTTAATATATAGAATACTTACAACACACGTTTCGAAATGGTAGATAGCTATAATAATAGACTCCGAGGTGTGGGTCATTGCATCTTCACCTGTCTCCTTCCCGTCACTTCATGTTGTTAGTTTATTTTACGTGCTCGAATTTTGCACTAACGCTAGGTACTTGGTGACCACAAGTACCCAAGTTTCTGTCGTATCGTTTGGTAGCAGTAAGTCATAAGCTACGATGCTTCGACCACGCGCTGCGAATGACTCTGTCATTCCTACCTGCGGTACACGGCAGCTAACTATCAACCTGAATAATCGACAACAGTATCTATGGACGTTCATCCCTGCTGATGTTCCCGTAGCCATACTCGGTATCGATTGCCTAAAGCACTATGAATTGCTAGTCGATTCACGTAGGCGGCGTTAATCGATACTTCGTCGAATATCGAATCCATGGTTTTTAAAGCGCAAACAGATATGTACCGAATCACCAATATATATATATATATATATATATATATATATATATATATATATTTGCATTACTATTTATTTCATGTTATATTCGATAAATTTCCCAAAGTAACGAAACCGAGGAGATTCAACTGACGATTAATTATGTAGTAAGCCACATCGTCACCTGCAGACCCTCAGTCACGGCACTGAACAACTTAGTTTTCGCTAAGCGTGAGTTTGACAGTTTACTTGCAATATCTATTACTTCGTCTTTCTCACAGTCCTTAAGACTCCTCTCTCCACTCAGCGATTACTGAGCAGCAACGGCAGATATCCAATGTTCCGCCCCCGAACTTGTATGGGGCACGAAATTGCATCTGCCTGGGGAATTTTTCACACTACGGAGCAGCGGTTTTGGGTATATCAGATAACGTCCAACGACTATCTGCGTAGATGCGAATACTGCCTCGGGTGTGAACTCGAATATAACATCGACAGGTCGCTCTCCCTCGAGAGTTATTTACCTGTCCACAGGTTTGCTTACTAGTAGATTCGGTACTCAACAACTTAACGAAAGGTCTTTTCACATGATCTGCCGTCACGAAAAGGCCTTCAAGGTTGATGGACACAGTCAGCATTGATCGTCTCATACCAGCACACGTCAATGACAGTGTCCTACCTACTAAATTGAGATTTAATGCTGGACTCGTCCAACTCACTAGCAGGATTCTTATTTTTCCTTCTGATCCCATGCTAGATAAACCAAAGACCTCATTCTCACGTCCCAGTCAGCAGCACGCGTCATCTGCTCTATCTACGGATGAGACTCCGGTCTAAAGTCCAAATCAGCAGACAACGCCGCACTTGGCTGCGGATGAGAATGCAGACTCACGAGGTAAGCACGAGGCTACGGTCTCGCGTTCCGGTCGCCGCGTACGCCTACTTGTACGTTTTCTCAACTAACCACCAATCAACCACTGGTGCGGCATAGGATTTTACCCTCATACTACATGCTTGTTATATTTTTATCCTTTTTCTTTGATTTTTCTATCCCGATCCTATACCTCCGACCGTTGCCCTGTTGGTACCGTCGACTTTATTCAACCTTGGCGAAAGCTAGCCTGATCACACACGCTCTTGTCAATGCACTCAAT